CGCCCACCACCTCCCCCGGTACTTACACCGCGGCCTCCTCCCCCCCTGCGCAATCAGGCCCCTACGCCACCACCATAATTCCGCCAAGCACCCACAAGGCACCGCGCGGGAACCACAGACACAACGCGGCGGAAGCTGCCGCCGAAGGAGGACTTGCCATAGAGAGGGTTGGCAGGACTATCACGTGAGGGAGGCGAGCGTGTCCGCCATGATGGCTACCGAGGCGGAAGTGGGCGCCGTGGCAGCGTTGCTGCCTGCGTAGCAATGGCGGCCTCCTCCTACCCTCCTGCTCCTCAGAGCGGGGTCGGGCGAGCCCAGCTCGGAACAGAGAGCTTGGGGCGCCCATCCTGCGGGCCCGGAGTTGCCCTGGAGGAGGGCCTCGCCCCGTAGTGCTACCAGGCCATGGCACTGCACTGGTCCTGCCCAGGCAAGGCCTCCCCTTGGCGGCCTGTGCAAGCCACGGGGCTCTCGCCGGTGCAGTGAGGGGAAGCCAGAGGACACATCGGCGGAGAGACAGGGCTTCAGGACATACTGCAACCATTACTGTAACCTACTGGTGTGAGCCACTGTTGAGTCTTCTCTCACAAATTAGCTCATGAATAGACTTGCAAGTTGCGTATCTCAGAGGAGTCTGCTCGCTTGATGTAGGAGGCTTGGAAAAGGGCGGTGTATTAGTTATGTGAAACAGCACTTCACAGCTTCAAAGTGCTCGCCCTGGGTGTCAGTGCGAGGGGGGCTGGAATGTTGAGGGAACGGCCATGGAAGAGGGAAGGGATTCAGGAGAAAGGGTTGGGGTCCTTGTGGGGAAGATGGGGAAAGACAGAAACAAGGCAGCTGGAGGAAGAGGGAGTAGCTCTCAGTCATTCTCTTTGCTCAGAGATCTGTATTAGCAACGTTAGCCTAAGCCCGACTGTCAGTCAGCAAGTCCCCGCCCCCCCTTACAAAGAATTCCTTTGCATGATGTATATTCATTGCCATCTCTGTAAAGAAGCCGAAGTGTAAATGAGCATCACTCATTTACATAAATTCCCCCTCTTAAAATGCAGTTTCTCTCTTGTGCTTGCTTTTGCTTTTAGATGCATCTTATTATCAAACTTCTGCAAATCCACGAGGGCATTTGAAGTAAAAGGCTCTTTGATAGATCTACAAATTAACACAAACGTTTTCCTGAGCATGCAATTTAGAAGAGCGTCCACACGAGGTCCCCAAAGATATTGCTAGCCAGAGAGCTACAGCAACAATGTAAATTACACCCTTTGGGTCAGCAAGCCATCAGAGAAAGCACTTGGAAGAAGTGGGCCCTTGGTATACAAAGAAACCGGTTATTTTAAGCAAATTGTCATAAATGTTAAGCTTCACTCAAAAGTCAGGTAAATAGTAACAATAATTAGTGTGTCATTTCCTAAGAGCTATACCTGTCAGTAACCAAGCATCCACCGTTGCATTTTCTTATCTGCAAGCCTCTGTCCGTGCCCTGTGAAGTGGGTTTATGATTGATTTCACTACAGGCAGTTTAGACTCAAGATCAAACCTTGCAGAGGAGTCTGGTTTCGCGGCTGGACGGTTGGGAATTCAGTATTGTCAGGCTGCAGATCACAGCAGCCTGAAAACAGTGCGTCATCCTATGGTGGTGGGTGTTATTCGTAGGTTATAAATCTGTGGACTTTAAATCAGGAGGAACTGTTATGTTAATTTGACTGTCTTGGTGCAGCAGAATGTTGTATTCTGCTCAGTAACATGTCCGGAGGGCAGTGCCTGCTGTTCAGTTTTAATATCCGTCTGGCAAAAGGTATCAAGTCCTGATTAAAGACCTCAAAAACTGAAGAGACTTCTGCTGTTGGGTAAGAGTACATGGCAAGCATTCTCTGCGTGGAGGATTACTTGAAGATGAGAGCTAAAAAACTAGCACAGTCCCTGCTCTGAACAGATACAGTGATTCTTTGAATAATAAAGGACTGTCTTAGTGTCTTTGGCCAAAGTTGTTCCCCACAACCCCAAGGTGCTTCCCTTCGCCCAACTTGTGTGTATCAATGTGAAGTACAAATAGCTACAGATGTGTTTTATGGTCAAAGGTTTGGTTTCCTTAGAAGACTTGGGCACTAAAGAAGGATACTGGTGGAGTGGAGGTGCCTGAGTCCAGACTCCTGAAAATCCCTACTCGGTCTTGTTGCAGAGGCACCTAACGTTCACAGGTCCACAACGTTTGGTTTTAAAGATCTCTAAACATACAGTTTTGCCCAAAATTGAACTTGTTTGGACTTAGTTTAGGTCCAAGAATTTTAGCATCCTGCTCACACCAAGGCCTAATAGAAACAGGATATATCCCCAAGTGCTCAGAGAACTTTCATCCAGTAATTATTCTCAGAGCACATCCAGCACTTGTGGATACCACAAGCAGCCTCTCAGCTCCTCCGGGGCACGTCCCATAGCCCTTTCCTGAGCAGGGCTGACTCTGCATGTAGAGAAGCGTTGCCCCATCAATCAGGCAGCTCTAGGCTGCTTTGATATTTAGGGATGCTCTCCCTGTGTTTTTGAAGCTCACTAGCTGAGCGTAAGGGAAGGAATTGAAGATTCATCGAGAAAGAGAGCATGTATGTAGAAGGGAGCCCAGTCAAGTTCAATGGTACGGGCGCTCATCTGTAAGTGGGAATTCCTGGATTCCAGGATTATGCATTAAAATGTCATCAGATAACGTAAACAACCAGACAATGACAAACCCCCAGGTCTTCCCCCTTCCCATGGCTGCTCTAATCACAACACAGCTCAAGGCCGAAGACTTCTTTCTTCCTGTGGCACGCTAAGCCTTGGATCTCTGCACACAGTAATTGGCACCGCAGATGCACCCTCGGTTATTCCTCCGCTGAGCAATTTGGCTGTGGCAGTTCTTAGAAAGGTACTCTGTACTGCGTGGAAAACATGAAAAGCAGGAGAAGTCACCACTTCCCTTGATCATTTCCTCCGGTGATTAATTATCCTCACAGTTCAAAACTGCATCTTACTTTTAATTCCAGTTGGCTTTATTCCCAGCCACGGGTGCCTGTTGTGCCTTTCTCTGGTAATTTTAAAAGCCTGTTTTCTCACCAGGTATTTATACTTTGTAATCCAGTCTTGCAACTGCCTTTGGGTAAGGTAAGCAGACTGAACTCTTCTGGTCTCCTAGAATCGTTTCCTTCCTCCCACCAATTATTTGGGGGCTTTTTCTTTCTCTCTATCCAATTTATCAACATCAGAAGCATAAGAATTGTTTCAGCGTCAGCTCCACTAATGTGAATAGAGAGATAAGATCACTTTCCTCCCCCAGCTTTCTAGGCTGTTGTTTATCTATCCAAGGATCACACTGGCCTTTTTCCCCACACTGCTCTACTGGGTGCTTGAGTCCAGGTGCGTGTCCATGGTGACTCTTGAATCCTTCTCAGGGTTGTTGCTTTCTGGATTAGTAAATTCCATGTAGTCTTTGAGCTGAGATGAATAAACATGTTTGGTTGTGTTAAAGGCATCTGTCTCGAAAAGAAATCCCTCACTGGTGTCACTGGCATGGCCTTTTAGTTACCATGCCAAATTCTTTATGGTACCTGTACATATTCTCAGTCTGATTTTATATTTGCTTGTGGATCACACCAGGAGACCAATATTTTTTGGTTATCTCAGTGCTCTAGGGTGCAGGTCTCTCCTAAGTGCTGGTCCTTCTCTGAGATTATTGCAAGACTGCAAAAAACATCGCATCCTGAAAGAGAACAGGAACATTTATAGAAACCTTGTGCCTGTTTTGAACCTTGTTAATGTTTTTCTTATCTACTTCTTGGCCTGTAGCGTTATGAAGAATGCTTACGTTCCTAAAGGACTTTAAAAACTCCCTCTTAGCCTTGCCAATGCAGGGATTTTTCCCCGTTTCCTGTGTCATTTTTCTGTTCCTTAAAGCTTCTCATGTATACTCTTTGCTATCTGGTTCCCCTTTCTTCTATCTGTAACATTACTCTTAGTTGTTGCTTTTCACTGATTGTTTCTGAATCTGGATGGGAATTCAGTCAAGGCAATTTTCTTTCCTGAATTTTTGGGTCTCCCACTGTAGGCTCTGGGGCTTTCTTCTGCCCACCCTTAAAGTCCAGCATCAGGGCGTGCAACCTCTTCTTTCAAAGCAGTGTGGTACCATGAACATGAGCATTTTCCTTGAGCAGGGCAGAGGTTCAGTGCCAGAATGGAAATCTCCCAGCTTGAATTTTCCCCTTGCCTCCCTTCCTGTAAGAGCCTGTCTTTTGCCGTCCAGGGCACAGCTTGCACGGGCCGAGCAGCAGCAAATCCTGTTTCTGCTTTGGAGAGGCTGCAGCACGTTTCCTCCCTCAGGACACCGTGTGCTTTGAAGGATCGTGCCTCCCTCTGGGTTACAGACATGGAAGGGCACAGGGGATCGTCGAGAGTGGAGGCTTGGTGCAGGAATGCTCAGCATCTGAATCACAGCCTTAAAAGAAGTTTGTGGGAAGTTGCTGTTTCCTTGATTGGGAAAAGAACAGAGGCCGGGCAAGGCTGTGACTCAGCCGGTGAGTCAGCGGGGGCTGCTTTCCGATGAGGCCATCGTGCGCTGTTTAGCTCTCTGTCACACCCTCCCTGCTGCCGTGGGACAGTAAAAACCTTGTGCTGTTGCTTCTCTGTGCTCACAAAGTCATCCCGGCCCTTAACCTCTTTCCTGCCGCCTCCCTCTGCACCGTCTCTCCAACTTTGTGCTTCTGTGCTCCATCAGCAGCTGCTGTCTCCTTTTGTGCATTCAGTGCTCCGGTCCTGGGTGGATTTAGCAGGCGTGAACTCCTGCTTTGCAGCAAGGGAGAGACCTTGTGACGTATTCACAACGGAGGGAAAATTCTGGGAGTCAGCAGGAATTCCCTGCAAGAAAAGGCACAGGGTGAGGACCTGATCTGGATCTTGCCCGAGGCAGTGATGACCTTCATCAGACACTGCAGACTGTCGTTCCTTTGCCAGCCATTAAACGAGCTGGACCAGTGCTGCAGGTCCGACATACTGGTTTTGAATGCGTGTTCTGTTTATTGTGTCTTTCTCTGTCTGCTTCCCCGTGCGCGCGGCTCTCCATTGAGATCCCAGTGCTCTTTCAACGTGAGATGTGATGTCAACATAAAGGCACTCGGGGACGTG